GTTTGAATATTGTGGGCCACATGGAACTTAAGTTATGCTCCAGAAACTGTTTTCAGTTTTAAAGTAATAATGACCTTGACCTTGTGACCCCAAAATCAATAGGGGTCTTCTACTCAATATGGACAATCATCCTCTGACGTTTGAACACTGTGGGCCAAACAGAACTTAAGTTATGCTCCGGAAATTGTTTTCAGTTTTAAGGTGATAGTGACCTTGACCTTTGACCTTGTGACCCAAAAATCAAAAAAGGTCTTCTACCCAATATAGACAATCATCCTATGAAGTTTGAATATTGTTGGCCAAATGGAACTTAAGTTATGCTCCGGAAACCAAATTGCTAACGGACGGACGGACAGACGGACGGACGGATAAACAGACAGACGGACGGACGGACGCCAGGGGGTATAACATATTATGCCCGAAATTCTTTCGAGCATATAAAAAAGGATTAGAGCACCACACTAAATACCGTATTCCGGTATATACTGACAAAGCACTTGCATGATAAAATGTTAAAAGCTTGCCTTTTTACCCAACGGAATGAACTTTAACAGGTCTAATTCATCTTTTCACACCTATTTATGTATGATAATGAATGAAAAATGTAAAAATCGGCGAAAAAACGATATTTGTCTTTTTTGTGAACATGATTTCTGCAAACGTCTAGAGGTACTGCTCCAATCCTGTATTGAGCTAAATCCTTAAATATTTCTTACTGATTTTGCCGCGTAACGTCGTGCATTCTCCTTGATGACGTCTTCACATCATGGCGTCACATCATCAATTTTGAAATATAATAGTTTTGTTAAACTTTCTCTAATTTTGTTACATTTTAACATGATGTATGATGACATCCACTTTCTTTTCCTTAAGAAGCATAATTTACGTATGACGACATTTATTTTTGCCTGTTATTAGCTCGACTTATTTTTTTTTTGAAAAAAAAAGTAGAGGTATTGTTATAGTCGGGTCGGCATTGCCGTTGCCATTGCCATTGCCGATGCCGCCCGCAAACTTGTACCTGGATCATAACTTTTTTATTTCTTGGTGTATTGTCTTCATACTTGGACACAACAACCCTTTGGACAAGACCTTTCAGTAGACCACACTAACCTTGACCTTCATCCATAAATGACCTTGACCTTCAAGGTTAAAAGTCCAATTTTTGCTTGTTCATGCTGTTTTTGGCTGTAACTTTGTTATTTTTGAATGGATTGTCTTCAAACTTGAACATAATAATCTTCAGGGATATCCCTTAAAAATAACCAGCCACATCTTGACCTTCACTCATCAATGACCTTGACTTTGAAGGTCAAATTATTGAAATTTTCATTTTTTTGGCTATTATTGGCTGTTACTTTGTTATTTTTGAATGGATTGTCTTCAAACTTGAACATAATCATCTTCAGGGATATCCCTTAGGAATAACTAGACAGACCTTGACCTTCACTCATAAATGACCTTGACTTTGAAGGTCAAATTATTGAACTTTTCATTTTTTTGGCTATTATTGGCTGTAACTTTGTTATTTTTGAATGGATTGTCTTGAAACTTGAACATAATAATCTTCAAAGATAACTGTTAAAAATATACCGAAAGACCTTGACCTTCACTCATTACTGACATTGTCTTTGAAGGTCAAATTATTGAAATTTTCATTGTTTTGGCGGTAACTGACTGTAACTTTGCTATTATTGAAGGGATCAACTTCATATTATAACAGAACATTCTTAAGGACCAGACCTTGCTGTTTATCAAACCCAAATTTGCTTGGGCTCTTTAATGACCTTGAAGGTTAAATTACTGAATTTTCTCAGATTTGTGCATTAAATGACCATATGTATTGGTGTGTGTGTGCTTATATATATATATATATCATCATCATCATCATCATCATCAACATCTGTCATCATCATCATCATCATCATCATCAACAACAACAACAGCAACAACAGCAACGACAGCAACAACAACAACAACCACCACCACCACCATCACAACAACCACCACCACCACCACCACAACAACCACCACCACCACCACAACAACAACAACAACCACCACCACCACCACCACAACAACCACCACCACCACCACCAACAACAATTTATAGAATTGCGTAATGTTTCTATTTATAGAAATGCGTAATGTTTCTATTTATGGAAATTGCGTAATATTTCTTATTATGGAAATTGCGTAATGTTTCTATTAATGGAAATTGCGTAATGTTTTTAATTTTAAAATTGCGTAATGTTTCTATTTTTAGAAATTGCTCCTGTTTCTATTTCTATTTTTAGTAATTGCGTAATGTTTCTATTTTTAGAAATTGCGTAATGTTTCTATTTTTAGAAATTGATGTTTCTATTTTTAGAAATTGCGTAATGTTTCTATTTTTAGAAATTGCATGTTTCTATTGCTAGAAATTGCGTAATGTTTCTATTTTTAGTAATTGCGTAATGTTTCTATTTTTAGAAATTGCGTTATGTTTCTATTTTTAGAAATTGCGTAATGTTTCTATTTTTAGAAATTGCGTAATGTTTCTATTTTTAGAAATTGTGTAATGTTTCTATTTTAAGAAATTGCGTAATGTTTCTATTTTAAGAAATTGCGTAATGTTTCTATTTTAAGAAATTGCGTAATGTTTCTATTTATAGAAATTGCGTAATGTTTCTATTTTTAGTAATTGCGTAATGTTTCTATTTTTAGAAATTGCGTAATGTTTCTATTTTAAGAAATTGCATAATGTTTCTATTTTAAGAAATTGCGTAATGTTTCTATTTTTAGAAATTGCGTAATGTTTCCATTTTAAGAAATTTCGTAATGTTTCTTTTTTTAGAAATTGTTGCTTTTATTTTTAGAATTTGCGTAATGTTTCTATTTTTAGAAATTGCGTAATGTTTCTATTTTTAGTAATTGCGAAATGTTTCTATTTTTAGAAATTGCCTAATGTTTCTATTTTTAGAAATTGATGTTTCTATTTTTAGAAATTGCGTAATGTTGATATTTTTAGAAATTGCGTAATGTTGATATTTTTTAGAAATTGGGTAATGTTTCTATTTTTAGAAATTGCGTAATGTTTCTATTTTTAGAAATTGCGTGTTTCTATTTATAGAATTGCGTGTTTCTATTCATATATATATACAAAATAGATAAATAAAACTAATGTGACAAGACAGACCAACTTAATTTATAAAAAGGAAATGTTAAGATATGTTCAAACCTTTCTATGTTTGCGTTTAAAAAAAGTAAAAAGTCGAGCGTTGCCCCCGCCCGGCGATGGCTCTTGTTCCATTTAGTAATGATAGTCTTTTCATCCGCATTAGATATAGTCCAGCTACAGTGTTAATTATATTTTATAAATTTCACTGGTTGTTTATCAAAATATAATCATCTGATATATTACAGTTAAAGATTGGCAAGCATGAAATAAAGGATATCATTTGCATCTGTTAGTCATACATCATTTTTCAAGAAAGAAAACTTATTTGAGGAAAGTTACAGAAAATAAATAAGTGTTGACAGTTGTGTAAACATTCAAAAAGCGGCTAGGAAATTGGGAAACATGGAATTGTTAAAAAGCTGCATAACGGACACTGGGTTGTTAACTTGTTCTTCGGACTGATGGCTGTCATTGATTTTCAAGTTTTCATATTGCACTAGGCAGCTATTAATAGTAGGATACTGAAATATGTCCAAATGTCACCAATAGCAGTGTTGCATGTGAAAGGAATTGTAATTTTCAGACTGTAAAAATGAAACAAAAAATTTTGATGAGCTATTTGGTGATTAGTAATTTGAAAGAATTGAAGTAAGTTTTCTTCTTTTTATTATTTTTGAAGTTTAAAGTTATTTATCAATTTCAGCTTTGCTTTTCTCTAAACAGCCCTGACAATGTCAGAATTGTCAGCAAAAATATAAATGAGGTACCACATGGGGAAATATTAAAAAGTAGTCTCGTCGAAATTATATTTTGATATTTTTCATTGATTGTGAAATTATCAAATTTATTTCATGCTTTTCGGTGGTTTATAGAAATATATCAGTGAAACAAAGACTGATAATTTCACTGTTTTAAACAGTGAAATAATCAATTTGATAATTTCACTGTTTTGAATATTTGAGCCCGTTACGTTGTTTCATTAAAATACAAGCGTTCACAGTACTGGAAACCAACTTAATGATGTGACGTCGTAAATGACGTCACGTTGTATTATGACTTTTCATTTAAAGTATTAGGTTAAACTGTCTTTTTAAACGTTTCTTTGCATATAATATAGAGGATATTTGTTTAGTTCAGTGTAAGATCGGAATATCTTTCACCGAGTGAGCACCAAAAGGTATATTTCACGAGTGGCGCAGCCACGAGTGAAATATGAACTCTTGGTGTTCACAAGGTGAAATATATTTCGATCTTACACTAAACTAAACAAATTTTCCTTTTATTATGTGCAAAGAAACGTTTTAAAAAGACATTAAACCTAATACTGAATGAAAAGCGCGCCAAATAATGATACAGCGTGACGTCATTTACGACGTCATTAAGTTGGTACCCAGTTCTGTGCACGCTGGTATTTCACTGAAACAACGTAAGGGGCTCAAATTCAAAACAGTGAAATTATCAAAGTGGTTATTTCACTGTTTCAAACAGTGAAATTACCAGTTTTTATATCACTGATATATTTCTATAAACCACCGAAAAGCATGTAATAAAAAAAGACAATTTGTTTAGTTTAGTGTAAGATCGAAATATATTTCACCTCGTGAACACCAAAAGTTCATATTTCACTTGTGGCTGCGCCACTCGTGAAATATACCTTTTAGTACTCACTCGGTGAAATATATTCCGATCTTACATTAAACTTACCAAATATCCTCTATACAATTTTCACAGATAAATCAGTAATCCACTGAAAAGCATAAAAGGAAGGTTAATCTATTAATGTGTGACTGTGTCACTGATTTTGTCGTATGATCTTGTTGTTGTTTTTAGCAATACTCACAATATCAAAATCTTCAGATCCCTCTGATGCTAAAGAAACTTCAAAAGCGGCAACATGCTCAACATCAATATAATATGCCATTGTCTGAAATGGATGATACAGCAATTAAAATTATACCTACAGATAGTTTCCGTTTTTTACAATATTTACCTCCCTTGCCAACAGTGGTAGCCATTATTGGCGTCCGCGCCGAAGCGCGACGCCCATTCTGGAATGAAACAAGTTTGCTTCTTTAAATGAAGCATGAAAATTGTCTTTTTGCTGCTGTGGTTCGAAAATATTTGGGAATATTTTTTATAAATTACAATTATTTAACAAAATAGAATTTATTAGATATATTGGTCCAGTTGTTCAAAACTTTTGTTAAATATTTAACAATGACATCATAGTTAAATTAACAACAAATTGTTAAATTCTGTGTTAAATTTTGTTGTTAAGCAATTCTGTTGTTCAAACATTGTTAACGTTAAAGTTCTGTTAAATTAACAAAGTGTTGTTAATTTTTTTGTTAAATATCTTTGATAAAAAAATCAGTTGTTCAGAAAAAAATAGCGGTATCTTTTTGTTAAAACATCGGCTTTAACAAAGATTTTAAAGATTTAAGATTTAATTAATTTTATTGTTAGTGGCACAGAAAGTTGCTTGTTCCCTTATTTTACCCCTGTCAACCCCAAAACATTCACTTTTAACATTTTAACGCCATTGGGACGTCATTCTTAATTATAAAAAGATTCTAAACAATTTACACAGGGATTTAAGAAAGTCCCATTTACTATCAATAGCCTCAATGTGGTATAAATAAATTTTCATAAAATGTCTGAATCTGTTCAATTAAACAAGTTTTAAAGTAATATAATCAGTATTAAGATCATCTTTTAAATTCAGCATAAACAAACATAAATTTATTCCTGTCTGTGATTTAATTGACTTTCTTGAACTTCACTTAACAAATGTAGTTACCTCATTCTACCTTATTTTGGATCATTAGAGTAACAAGCTGACAAAATATTGTACTGCCAGTGTAAAACCATATATAGGATTTATTACCAAAATCTGACACCACTGGTTTAATACTGCTTTGTTCAAAAAACCCTCTACTTGGTTGGTTAACTATTGCCAGTTTTTTGTTTGTTTTGTCAGTTTAAATCTTCACTTTAGGTACCTTATTAAAATCATTCAATAGCAAGAATAAAGATCAACAAGGCAAAGGCACATTCACAGGACCATTGTCTCATATGTTTATTTGTATGTTTTTTGTCTGATGTCAGTTTCATGCCAAATAATAAATTGTCAAATGTGGTATTACAGAGTGATAATTTGTAGTTACCATATATATATACCATATATATTTTACAATAATCTGTCTCATCAACTTTAATCATTATTTTCATTTTTTACCAAATGTGAGAGTTGATTAAGTCATCTATATAAATGTTATGCAAGCCATGGATTCAAATATGAAGTACTATAAAGATCCATGATTCACCATTTCATTATTTTCAATAAGGCCAAAATGAATAAAAATATGTCTCCCCTTTCCAACTCAAATAAAATAGGGTTTGGCATTTATGTAGGAAACTTCTTCTAATTTTCTTTTTTTATATGAGTGCATTAAAAGCAAGTTTTATATTTCAAATTTAAAGGCATTGGACTTTAATTGTACATTATTCAATGATATTAATGTTGACAGTAACAGTTCATCATGCATTATGTGTAAACAATGGAGTATTTGATAATTTTGAGATCTTATTTGTACATATCATAATTTTGAGAATAATATTTTGGAAAAGAGGCAAATTCACTTTGTATTGTAGGTGGGAAGAGAAAACAAAACACATTTTCTAATTTATGCAAGTCAATAGTGATTCTTATAAAATGTTAAAACTATAGTGCTGGTTTGGGTCAAAATCTCTATCATATAAATACATGTAAATGATGTCCAAATTAAGTTTTTAAAAGTTTCATCTACATAATTGTAAAATAACCATGCAAACCTGTCAAACAATAAGAACATCTTTAGGAACTTAACAGTTATGATCTCAATACTTGTGTGTGGTAAAATTGAGCACTAGGCATTATATAGATAATTATATAGATAATTAAATTAAAATTGTATAAACTGGCTTACATATTGCTGAAATTTTTAGAGTAAATGTGTGTATTTTGAACCTAATGCTATGTTATTCTTGCTTTCACTTTATCCTAGATGTGCATTATAGTATACTGCAATTTATACTATTTGTTAAATATACTTCATATCATAATTGTTTGATAAATATACAAAAACACTTTACATTTTCTTCTTCAGACATTTTAAGGCATATATCTATTGAAATAAGGAATAAGATAGCCTATTGATATTTGCATGCACTCAAATATACAAATTGGTTGTTAATACAATATCAATTAATAACTTCATTAATAAGATAAGAAAATGTTAAGTTGAAGGTGTCTTTTGATTTAAGACAAGATATACCATCACTCATGAGCTTTTGTAATTTTTTTAACAAGCTTTTATTTAATTCTGTTAAAATGGGCATTTTCAGTTAAAATCCATGTCAAGGTTATGGGTCTTTGTAAGGAATTTTAATTTCAAGACATGAATAAAGTTTTGTTTCATTTGATACACTCAGCAATTTTGAATATTGATGATGCATGCACAATTTTAACCATACTGTACATTGTTGTAAGTTGAAAATGTTCATAAATAAGTCAAAATCCATGCAATGATTGTGGACCTTAATTAGTGAACTTCATGTATAATCCTTAAGACAAACAAAGTTCACACACTTTTAACAAAGAACCATTATTTAGTAAAATCGATGATAAAATTATAAGCCTAGTCTTTGACAGTGACCTCCACACATGCTTATAACATTAGCATATGGAAGTAAAAACAATAGGGTAGTCTGACCCGTAATTGACTCATCATTTACCACAATGCAACTGCTAAAAATAAAAATGGCTTCTAGTGTAAGTTGTTTACTGTCAACAGCTACAATTATAAGTGTTAAAAAGTGTTTAAAAATGGAATTGATCATTCAGACTTGGCTAACATGTTTCCTTACACCCAGTTTTGATATTTCACAAATGGATTTAACACACATTATGGAATAAACACTGATAAAGATGCAAAAACGAGGAAAATATACATGTGGGAAAAGGTTGTATAGTAGTTATAGTGTAAACGCGGGAACATTTTAAAAAGATGAATGGCAAACACTGTTTGTTTTATATGCAGGCTGGCTGGTTAATATTTATCAGACCAGAATGCATATTTAATGTATGGTACATTGTCAAATGCTTCACAAGATACTTGGAATAAGGATCAAATTAGGATCAAGTCTGGTGGAGTCTGCCCTACATGTCATATGCACAGAAATCACAAAGTAACCAGGATATATACAGTACTGGCATTACACAAAGAATATGAAGGTAAAAATAACTTTAAATGTTTTTTCCTATGTATAACCTGTACACTTTGAAATAAATCACTCTCAAGTCAGTCAAGTAGTAGTAGTCAAGTCAGTTCATAGTTTCATGCAGATATGACATACTGGGGCTCTGGTTACAGTATGTTCATGACCAAACAGCCAAAAAAACTTATCATATTACATGAGTTTTCATTTTTTATTAGTCTATGACTCAGCTGTATTTTGCAGACAATGTACATCAGCTGATTTTCTAAGTATTTCTTATTGAAGTGGACAGTTATCGGCCATTTTGTTTTTTGTGGAGGAAAGAAACATACTGCATTGTGGGATTAATTTTTCTTGTTAATTAGTTAACAAATTGTTAAGCACTTTAACGCCTTGTTAACTAACAAAAAAATTAACACAGCTCTGAACAACTAAATTTTTGGCATTTCGTTAGCTAACGAAAATATTAAAATTTAACAACTGTTTAGTTAATTTGTTGTTAAAGTTAACAAAAGTTTTGAACAACTGGGCCATTGAATATAGTACCATAATGAAAGATTGTTTTACACTTCATTTTTTAAAATGTTTTGAAAGATTATATGCCGGAGAAGTGGACTTTTTCCATGGCGCACCCGCACTCCAGAGCAAGCCCATTGATCGGCTAATTTTTGCTAGGGTTTACTTATTGTGACGGCGGAGAAAGGGAAAGCGACAAAAATATCATATTCAGACGCTCGTTCATTGGTTCCTTTTTTCCGGGGTTTCATATTGTGACAAAAGGGAACGTGTTTTATGTTTGACTATGATAAAAAAGAGAAAAAACATCAAAACACTCGACAATCTGATTAATACTTGGGGGCTACGCCCCTCATACAAATCAGATGGTCACATGTGACTAAATTTAAAATAAATTATATATTAATATATATGTTAAAAGTAGTTTCAAAATCAAAAGTTTCTTGTAAAATTCAATAAGCAAATTTTCGGTTGATGTTTCGGTAAGTATATGGAAACATTTCTACTACATTTTCAAAAACGGGCATAAAGTATTTTAATCAAATAATTTTAAGTCCAGGATTTACATAGAAAATGTTTATATCATTTGATTGGAATAAACAGTATATATAGCTGCATGCCTCCAGCCACAATATTTGATGAAAATCAAACTTGAGTAAAATGTGTGCCATTTGCGCCAAAAAATCTCCGTTGCGTTATTTAGTCATACCAGTTCAAATGCAAACAGGACGTTTCGGTCCCAAACCAAATCGGCCCCTATGCAAAAATCGGCCCCTAGGCGTTTCGGCCCTTTTCCGCGAGACATTTCGGCCCTTTTTTAATTACATTTAAAAAGGAATTTTAAACTTAAAATCGTTAGAAAAATGAAGTATATTGATTGATTGATTGCACACAAACAATATTTATTTTATATTTAGGTATGGTTTTTTTCAAGGTGTAACAAATTAATTATTTAATTATTGCTAATTAGAGGTTAGTAATATCAAAGAAAACTTCAAAAGTTTTAAACTTATGATTTGATAATATTTTAGATTATCATTATAACGTTCTGATTGAAAATCTGTCAATTTTATTGTAAAAAAAGTGTTATTTGTTAAAAAAAATGCCTGTTTACAATGTATTGTTTGTTTTATTATAATTTAATAGTTG